ATCCATTATTAAGAAGTGAATCTAACTTACACATTGGTCAAACGATGATGACGTTTTCACGCCGACTAACATGTCATTTATCAACCAACAGTTATATAAAACTCATTAAAAACACTACATGGTATACAATACTATGATTATGTCCGCCGATCATAAATTCTGGTAGGTATTTTAATTGTCTTAGGAACATTTTATTGTATAATTTAAACTGACACAGTAAGAAAACACATCCATTTCTTTACTTCTCTTTCTATTTTTATATATTCATTGAACTCGATCTCTATATGAATATAAGCAGTTACTATTTGATACATATAGATAAATAAAAGCAAACTTCCTATGGCATTACGTTGAAATACCTTACTATTATTAGCATGAACTGATATAATTTCTCTTCAAAAATGAGATCATTCTAATGAGAAAGTATTTATCTGCTAACGGGCGCAAGATGAGAAAAACAAATATCTATATATAATAATTTCCGGCTCATGAAAATATATCACACAATCTATGTACAAGACCAGTCAGGAAAATATCTAGTTATATTAAAAATCTCGATTTCCCATTTTCCCTGTTTCTTGCAAGGTTACTGGAAAAAAAAATCGTATCACCCAAATCTGCTCCCACCCACGGCCGAAAGGTCTTAGAATACGGCAACTGCATTTGCTGAAGAGGAGTAGGATTTCCCAACCCACAAAAGGTCCTACCATCTAAGAAAGTACTTACAAAGTCAAATATAAACGACCTATATTGACCTTATTGACCTATAAGACCATGTAAAGACGGCGAGACTGCTCCACCGTGCCGCTGTAGAACCCCTTAGTGTGAGGTACGGTGAAGAAAATGGAGGTTCAATTAACTACATTTTAAAGAAAGACCCCAAAAAACGACTGAAACGTAGCACTGATCTGGTTCAACGAAGGAAACGGGAGAAGGGGAAGAACTAGGGGAGCGTTATGCTGGCATTTCAAGGGTTTAGGCGTAAGGAGCAGCTACAGCTAAGATAAAGTGGAGACAGGGTGGCCCTGTGCCACAAGGCACCAGGTAGACTAAGTAAATAGTTATAGACACAAATTAAAAAAAAAATATTTTTCGATATTAGATAACCTAATACGGGTTATATGGCAGATTTACATTTTAGGCTTAGGTCTAACGAATATTTCCTATGCTGGTTTTACTTATCACCAAAATTCATTTGAAAAAAGAATGGTTTGGTTTGTTTTACGGCATACCAACCTTTATGGGTTATTTAATGCCGACAAGATTTTATTGCTGGTAATATTTTTTCCAAAAATGTACTGCTGCTAATATTTTTTTTCTTTAACTCTGTTGCTGGTAATAATTATTTTCTTCAAAACTTCATAGCTGGTAATAACCTTTTACAAAAATGTATTGCTGGTATAAAAACCTATTTTACACTATTTTTACCCAGTCTGGAGATCAACTGTTTGCCCATAGCTCGGAAGAACAAGAGCATCAACCGATTCCTTTATAGCAAAAGTAAAAAAAAGAAGGTATGTGACAAAATGGGTTCCCACTCGATTGTCGTAGTCAAATGGACTGCAAATGATTTAATCTGGACCTGGCAAGAACGTGATTTCATGATTAGTAGTCATTAACTATCAACTGCCAATAAAATCGAGATGTGAGAGTTTCAGAACAACCATCCACTGTTTATAAACAAGGGGAAATAAAAAATACGTGTATATAAATACTTTCGCGATCTACTGACACTAGAAGGTAAGCAATTCCGGATATGTGCTGATACGGTCAGGCGGTATTCTAGGTAGAGTGGATGCAGTCAGAGTCGAAATGGTAGAATGAAAGAGTATCACGATCAGGTAGAGTGACAGAGTACAAAGAGATGAAAAGTCAGGCGGAGACAGTTTTCACTAGCCAAAGAGAAAATTTAGTCCGTTAGTTTGTCCTAAGAGAAGACAGAAGTGGCAGCGAAGATCTACAAATTGTTATTGACATACCTCTAGATAGTGTCATGTGAATCCATGAAAAATGAACCCTGTTTATCGGAACTAATAAACTTGTCTTTATCACTAAGGTGGGGTTTCGAAATTGCCGTATTCGAAACTTTCCTCCCCGTAAGATATTTTGTCAACAGTTTCTTTGCTGAATATACACCAGGTCTTTCCCAGCTTTGTTCGCACGGAAGTAAGCGGAAATCTGCCACGACGATGGGCAGAAAATTGACAAACGGTGAAAAACAGTGCTCGTGGGACCAACCGTATATTCACAGAGAGAATTACCATATAAAACATGAGTCCGAACTCCACATCTCAACTGATAAAATAGAAAATATCGCATCCATCACTACTTCCTCATTTCAAGTCTTTTATTAACAGTTAACAACCTCTCTCTCTCTCTCTCTCTCTCTCTCTCCCTCTCCAAATATTCTTGCAAAATGTTTCAAAATAATTTTGCCTTATTAACCGCGTTTATGTACCTTTTGTAAATCTATGACACGCAATATCTTTCATCGGAAGTGTAAATAATTGATTTCTTTCGATAATAATATAAACTCCTTAACAAAATAAATTTCTTTTCCTTGACTGAATGAAACTGAATTATATACATTCACTTTTAACTGCCAGCACATTACTGGAAAAGCAAAAAACTGCAATTTATTCCAAATGCTGCGTCGACACAAGCAAAACAAATGAATACTCGTTAAAATAGTCTTCGATATCCTCACCAAGTAAGCATATAGCTGTTCACTTTACTGTCGATACATCCAAAGCGATAACATCAAAATAATATTTGACCAGTAATAGTTGGCGAAGATGTTCTTTAACAAAAAAATAAATAAACCATTTTTAAAGGCTTATTATCATGAATGACTTAAACAGCATAAACAAGTTTCTTTTGTGACATATTTTGCCGTCTTCCAGGCAAATGTATAATTCCATTATTCTAGAACGTTTTTTTTTTTTTTATCTTACTCAGCAAAAATCTGCTCCAGGTGCCGTTTGCAAATTTTTCATGGAACTGAAATTATTGTCCTGAAGATAATTGTATATTGACTGAAATAAATGGTAAAATGGAGGTGTGATATCTACTGAATACCGTGGATCAATAAAAAAATTCCCAGCCACTGTGTAAAGATTTTGCATGATTTGATATATACATACACACACACACGTGTGTGTGTGTGTGTGTGCGCGCGTGTGTGCGTGTGTGAGGAGTTATCAAAGAAAGAATAACATCGCCAACGACTAGAAATCCTAATTCACCTGTTCGTTCTTTCAATATATACATACACAAACATGTACACACAACGGACGCTCGAAATTAATGCTTCCTATTTATTTCAGGGATAGCTACGACACAACGCAATAAATTATATATATATCAAGATTTATGTTTATATATATATATATATATATATATATATATATATATATATATATATATATATATATATATATATATATATATATATATATATATATATATATATATATATATATATGTATGTTTAGAGAGAGATGTTGGGTTAGCACGAAGTCACAAGTCATCGTGACCGAGGGTTTCTGCGTACTAGCCTTGTGACAAACTGTTGATCCCGCCAAATGATGCATTCTCTATAATAAAATGTAACTATTGTCCGCAGTTTCAATCCTGCATTCAGGCAGTTCAGGATATTGGTCGTCTGATGTTGACCTGAGACGATAGCATCACCCGGCAGCTCCCTGAACAATCAAGCAGCTCTCTTTAGGGACAGCACTAATTGCTCCACAAGGAGAGGGGCATAAAAAAGGTGGCCTAACCAAAGCTCGTCTCTCACCCCCAGTTGGCTTGCTGCGGTCAACGGACATCTTCTTAAGCAGCCGAGCAACACCAAAACAAGAAAGATACGCACCCACCTCAAAGGATGCAAAAACGCTGGAACTCGCATGTTGGAATTTCAGAACCATGCTTGACGCAGTTCACGGCAATCGACCTGAACGTCGCTCAGCGCTGATCGCACAGGAACTGTCCAGGTTAAATGTCAACATTGCTGCCCTTAGCGAAGTCCGCTTCCCAGACGGAGGCAGCCTCCAGGAGCATGGCACCGGATACACCCTCTTCTGATCAGGGAAACCTGCAACAGATGCGTCGGCTTCATGGTCAGCACCACCATTGCCTCCAGGTTGGAAAATCTGCCAACCGGTCATTCCGACTGCATGATGTCCATGCTCCTCCATCTAAAGAACAACGAGTATGCCACGTTTTCAGTGTGTACACTCCAACTCTACAAGCTGAATCTGCAGCAAAAGACAAGTTGTGCTCGGAGCTCCGCAGCTGTCTCCAAAACGCCCCTGCAGGCGACAACGTGATAATCCTTGGCGATTTCAATGCCAGAGTGGGCCAAAATGCAGATGGCTGGAAAGGAATACTTGGGAGACACGGCGTTGGTAACTGCAATGGAAACGGGAGCTTGATGCTGGTGCTTTGCACTGAGCAGCAACTTGTCATCACCAACACCGTCTTCCAGCAAAAGAGCAGTCTTAAAACAAACTGAATGCATCCTCGGTCCAAACATTGGCACCGCATAGACTATGTTCTTGTACACCAGCGAGACCTCAAAGACGTCCCTCACACCAAAGTCCAGTGCAGAATGTTACACTGACCATCGCCTAGTGCGCTGCAAACTTAGACTGCACTTCAAACTTAAACCAAGGAAGGGAGTCCCTCCAAAAGTTCAATCTGATCAAGCTTCAGTCAGCTGAAATGAAAGCTGACTTTTAGGTAGGCCTACAGTCCAAGCTTGAAAACGGTGACTGCCCAGTAGACCCCTCTGCTGAAACACTGGGATCAGCTGAAGACTGCCACCCTGCAACATCTGAAGAAGTTCTGGGATTTACCAGAGATTCAGGAACTGCTGGCGAAGAAGAGATCAGCCCACCAGGCCCATCTGGCTCAGCTGGGAGCAGAACAAAGGACTGTACGTAACGTTTGTGGACCTAACCAAAGCGTTAGATACAGTGAACAGAAAGGGACTGTTGATGAACACGGAGCTCCTCGGTTGCCCATCCAATTTCCTCAGCAGGGTCAACCAACTGTACAAAGACCAGCGTGGCCAAGTCGGGTTGGACAGTGACCTATCTGGACCCTTCTCCATCGTTAACGGCCTAAAACAGAATTGTTTCCTGGCACTGACTCTGTTTAGCATCTTTTTCAGCATGATGCTTAAACAGGCCACAGAAAACCTCGACGATGGCGATGCTGTGTACAACCGTAACAGCCTTGGCGACAGTCTGTTTAACCTCAGGAGACTGCAGGCCCACACAAAGACACTTGAGCAGCTGTTCCGTGACCTCCTCTTCGTGGACAATACTGCCCTCGTCGACCAGGTCAAAAGAGCCCTGCAGCGCCTAACGCCCTGCATTGTAGAGGCTGCCCGGCTCTTCAGATTCGAGGTTAGACCGAGGTCCTTCACCAGCCTGCACCCTGAGGAGAGTACTGCCCCACCCACACCACCATTGGCGAGACTGAGCTGAAAGCAGTTGATCAGTACACGTACTTGGGGTGTACTATCACATCGGATGCCAAGATCGACAGGGAAGTAAACAACAGACTGGCCAAAGCAAACAGTGTTTTCGGCAAACTCTACAAAAGAGTCTGGAAAAGCAAGCACCTGAAGAAGGGCACTAAGATCAGCGTCTTAGAGTCGTCGTACTCACCACCCTGTTGTATGGCTCTGAGTCGTGGGTAACCTAGCGCCACCACCTACGACTCCTTGAGCGCTTCAGTCAGCGCTGTATCCGTACCATCCTCAACATTCACTCGAGTGATAAGTCACCAACGTTGAGGTCCTCTAACAGGCGAAAATCACCAGCATTGAAGCCATGTTGCTGAAGTCACAGCTACACTGGGCAGGCCACATCTCCAGAATGGAGGACCATCGTCTGCCCAAGATAGCCCTGTACGGCGTACTCTACACTGGCCAACGTGACAGAGGGGCACCAAAGAAGCGTTATAGGGACTCTCTCAAGAAGTCACTTTTCCCGCATCGGCGTAGTCGGCCATCCACATGGACAGCCCACTTCATAAATCTTCGTACACGATGTCAGGCCAATATATATATATATACAGGATGCGATGGATAAACTGTCGTCTAAATTACACAAAAAATAAAAATAACACTGCCATCTCATTTTAACAGATATATTTACCAAAATTACACAAAATATCGTGAAATACTCAAGAGTAAATTTATTCAATAAAATCCCTATTGTCTTCAACCACGGTCTCCAAACGACTTCAGAACCCCCTGAAACTCTTCTAGACTGTTTCCTTGTTTAAGTTGACGAATATTGCCATAATCCTTGGCTTCAGTTCATCTTTGGTGCTACAAGGAGTTTTGTTGGTCTCTCGCTTCCCCACATAATAATCAAAAGGGTTGCAGCCTGGGGAGTTAGGTGGCCAGATGTAAAGGGTGATGTAGTCGCAGAAATTGTCTCAGCCATGACTAGGTTCGCCTGCTTGTGTGGCATGGTGCAGAATCCTACTACCAGAGGCAGGGCCTTCCAGCAGTCACCGTCTTGACCCAGGGCAGCACTACCTCCTCAAGGTACTTGATGTAAGCCTCCCTGTTGAGTCTGGGGCCCTGTAGGAAGATGAGTGGAAGCATAACCTCGCCACCATTAGTGATCACTCCAGGCACCTTCGCAATCACCATTAAATTCATCAAACTCTGTCCGAATCGGTTGCAATGTCCTCAGATTGACACCCAAACACTCTGAAATGTTCGTATTGGAGCTTCCGATGCGAATGCCAAGAACTACAGCATGCCATTTTCAAAGTTCTGGCGGAGTTAATTGCGTCATGGTGCTCTTTTTCTCACAGACAGTGCCCAACTGACCCTACTATACTGTGCAGTCGATACAATCAAAAATAAACAACACACATGCGCGAAATTAAAAATATAAAAAGGCGAAAATTTACCCATCGTACCCTGTATAGTGTGTCTGTATGTTCATTGGCCCTGTTTCCTTTATTTTATTTAATAAAAGTAAGATTCTTTTTAAATTTATCCTGAGCATTAATTTTACTAAAAAAACATTTACCGTTTTCTTCCTCGGTATTATCTTATCTTGTAGACAAGTATATATTTCTATCTTTTCTGTTCTTGAACAGTTCAGTCTACTTTTAGATTACGTTGACTATCTTCTGTGACGTATAATGTTAATGATTCTCAAGGAATATCTTCATCTAATTGCTATCAAATTCAAATTATTTAACGACGTCCATGTTGCATCGCCCTGCACCAAATTGCGCAAACCACTTTTGACACGTTTGATCATCTATAATCTCTTCTCCATAACCTATAGAAATGTTTTTGTGTATGCTTGAGGTAAATTTTAACTTTCTTAAAATAAAAAATAAATTAATATGCTGTTATTTTATTGAATATCTTCAATTAGAATCAAAAAAACATATTTTTACTAACTGTTGTTCACCCTAAGAGCCATTCGATTTAGCTGCTCGATGAGGTTGCTGCATTAGTGTAAAAAGAGGAGTGAGGAGTAGATCATGAGGACATGGAGGAAAGATAACAGTTGACCGGAGATTTGAAAAGATTCAAATTATAGTAATTGTGGAAGCATCCTCTCACAACGGTGTTTCACAAAACAGCTGCTCCCGTGAAGAAGCTCTCCGAACTTCTTCCTTACTAAGGGAGTATGAAGGGGATGGGGATGATTGGTCTCAGTGTACAAGGTATTGCAGATCTTAACTGTGAAGGTCTGAACTGGTGGAACTAATTTTGAAACCAAAAACTTTTTTTTTTAGTTAAGTTAAATAAAGTTAAATACTCTTAATGGCAAAAACAGGATATACATTATATATTGGAATCCCGAAATGGTTAATTGAGTTTTTTTGTTTTGTTTTTTTTTTTTTTTTGTTAGCGGAAGTGACTATTACATCAAGTAAATTCTTTTGGTTAAAGAGTAAAAAGAGTAATTTTATGTTATGTTAAACTTAATAAATAAGTCTTTACCATTATTCATTGGTGGAAACAATGTTATTTGTTGAGCTTAATATTTAGCATCACAAGTTTTTTTGTTTATATTTTTTGTTGTTATAATTAGAATTTAATTGAAAAAATACCGAAACCATCTTTTTTTCTGTGGTTCAGGTAAACTATGAAGCGGGAAATAATGTACTGCCGCATTATAATATGAAAAATTAAAAAAAAAACTTCTTTGATCTTAATTGATATATTTAATCAAGTTAACTATTTTCTCTCATTATCAGTAACATAATCTCATCTATTTGGAAAATTGTTGATACTTCAGGCGTAAACTTCTGGTTTCGATACAAAAAAAAAAAAATTATTCAATGTCCGTTTTAATCTCTTCACAATAAACTGTTTTCACCTTAAAAAATATTGCAAGAACGATTGTGAGATGGATCAAAGTCAGGGGAATAAGGAGGATGAAACAAAATTTTGCATCACTGGTGATGATTCTACCGAGGAATGGTTCGGTAGCAAGTTTACTCTTCAATGTCGAGCAGAAGGCAATTCATTAATGAAGCTGAGAAGCAGTCAGATGATGAAGGGCACACTGACCAAGTTGTAAGTATTCATGAAAGTATTGTATTATCGAAATGTAACTTGTATTGAACATTTTTATAATTCTTGTGGGTTTTGCTTAGGATTTTTATAAACCGCAGTTTGCAAAAGCTCAATATTGACAGAACTTAGTTTTACAAGGGAATTTTCGGGAGAAAAGATTTCCGATTGAAAGTAGCCAAACTATCGTTGGCCTGTCTGGACATTTACATTTCATTTCCGTAGGATGAATATTTCTTGCTGTTTTGATTGCTGAAGAGCAGTTTTTGAATTCGTACAGCATACAGTGTCTGATTGGATCTGTTCTAAACTCATTTCAAAAGGGTAAAATTAGTACAAAACTTACCAAGTCTGATATTAAGCAATCTGAAAAAAAAAACAAACAAACATTAAAAATGTGAAATTTAAGGTTACATTTTTTATAACCTCTAAAGTTATCATGTAAAAAAGGCGTTAAGACTTTCTTTACAACCTAAAATGGAAAACACTGTGAGGATCAAATTTATTAAACTTTCGAATTGGCTTTGGGGAGAAGTTTGCTAGACATAACATTATAACAGGCACACAGAAATAGATATATGTACATACTTATGGAGACATGTATATTTTTACTATTCTCATTCAATCTTTCTGTCTCTCCTTCTCATATATATATATATATATATATATATATATATATATATATATATATATGTGTGTGTGTGTGTGTTTGTTGATCTTATTTCTTACTGAGTCTATCTCGACCGGACCGTTTTTATATAGGTGTAGAAAGGATTACTGAAATGTGAAATTGATGTGCAAATTCAATAATTGCTTATATTCAAAAGTAAGAGATTTCGTGTACATATGTCGGCATCCATGACTTTTAACAAACCGCTTGTTTCAAGCAATACCCAAAGGGTCTATCACAATACACAGCAACGAAGACGCTTGGGTTGTTCATTTTCCCGCCAGAAAGCAATAAAAGAGAAGACCAGAAAATAAAGGTTTTCTTTTTACAAGATTCGCAGCCCAAGAGAATTGACGGTTTTTATAACGGATGGAGAACGTAACAATCTAATGAAAGTCTCATCAAATAGGAGACAGAAGCAGTTGTCATCATTTCTATGTGCCTGTATATATGTATAAATGGGTTTGTATTTATATATATATATATATATGTGTGTGTGTGTGTGTGTGTGTGTGTGTGTGTGTGTGTGTGTGTGTGTGTGTGCATAGTTATGCATATATGTTTATTTATGCGTGTATGTGTGCATTGACATGTACGTGTATACACAGAACTATAAATGTAAACATAATTAATAATGTAATATATATATATAAAGATGTAAAATATGATGATGTTATCAGGGGAGTCACTCAAACTAATGGACTCCTCTTGTGACGTAAAATGTGTTACCGACACAAAGAAGATATATGTGGACACAGGTATTAACACTATGTGGTGAGTGGCAGTTTTACTCTTCAAACGATCTTCAGACATGGCGTTAAATTGATAGTCACCATACAGTTACCATGCAGTACACACACACACACACAAACACACACACACACACACACACACACACACACACACACATATATATATATATATATATATATATATATATATATATATATATATGCAAACGAAAGGTGCCGAAAAATTCTCGGCTCGATCCAATTCTTGGAATCAGTATTCTGATTTTGGTTCATTGATTTTGGGAACGGAATCGGGTCGAGACCGTTTTCAGTTCGTACACCGTTTTGCCCACATAGTTAATACTTTATTTGTTTTGGAAAGAAAACTCTGCTTTACCTAGGTATACCATTCCTCGACAGTCTATACTTGACACCCTGCGACGTCTGACTGTTCGCAAAGCGACCTTTAAATGGAGGAGATTTCAGACCAAAGTGGGATTGAATAAACTTAAAGAGAGGGAG